ACATTTGATGACAGTTTGTTGGAATTCTGTATTCATTTTTTCAGCGTGATAATATCTAAGCACTGACAGGTAGAAGCAGTATCACCAGGAAATCATTCACTTTGTTAGCATCGTGATTTTGGTTGTTTTTGAATCCATAACATTAGTGTGTTTCTTTACCAGAAACATTAGCAGTTCATATTAGATTTGGATTTTAAATAGGATTTCATTTAAAAATAAACACGGATGTTTGTCAGAAATTCAGAGCTATTGAAATATGTTATTTAGTTTACCTAAAGATGTTGAGGTTCTTATTTAGTTGGCACAATCCAAGTATTAAGATTCTGAAGCTGCACTGGCAGATAGGTCTACAATTAATTTAGAAAACCTGTTCACAGACGGCTGTTGTTTCAAGACACCCCACCAACAGGCTCCAAGTGGGTCAAAACAGCTGAGCGTAGGCTTGAGGGATTTGTATCAGATTTCTCCACACAGGTCACTGGCGCCAAAAGGGGGACCCGAGAAGCACGAGGCCGACACAGCGGTGTTCGTCTGGCTGAAAGTCATCAGGACAAAGTGGCTCAACCCCAGGCTCTCCGACCCCGACCGAGTGACCCAGCGGACCTCTTATGCCGTCTGCCTGGGAGAAAAGGGGGACAGCTCGTACCACGGGAGCCAGTGTGCGGCGGGGAAACCACCTGCTAGGACCAGGGGACGACATCAGGACGGACGTGGCCCTGGCAGACGTGGACTACTCGGAAGCAGCAGACTGGAGGAGCAGGACCCTGGAGACATCCTTACAGCAGACGACCCGGGAGGCATCATCAGCGGGCCGGAGAAGGAGGACCCTGGAGACATCTCTACAGCATCGACCCGGAAGCCGCCATCAGCGGGCCGGAGGACGAGGAGGAGGAAGACATCTCTCTAGCAGGCAGCCCAGAAGCTGCTGTCAGCGGATCGGGGGGACAAAGACACGGCAAGCCAGGACGGCACAGGGAACTTGTCGAGGCAGCAGAGGAGTCTACTTCGCTCTGATCAGTTCCACCCGTGAAGGGCAAGCTGCATCTCCCCCTCCCTATTAGCTGTCCTTGTGGGCTATTCCTCCGAGGGGGGGGGGGCTGATGATTCTAGCACTCAGCTACCCCCTCATGGTTCCTTCACTGCCATGGAAAGTGGTGTTCTGTCTCCATGAAGGTTTCAGGTACTCTGAATACCAGCTTCGGATGGATTTACGGACACAGTAGAAAATAATGACAGTGGGTATATTTCAAAATGCCTTGTCTAAGTTTATCTCTGGAGAAGGAGATAAAAAGGGGGATTTGTAGAGTTATATTTGTATTTATTCATGTTAGCAAACTATGGATAAGCTTAAAATGAGAATAATTTGGGTAAAACTGTGAGCTGCATTTGGGGCCTGTTGACATGTGTTTTTGAGGACAAAGGAAGATGGGGGAAGGTGAGAGCATGTCCTGATTTGCATTCAACTTAGAACGAGCTACAGTGGTTGTGCTATTAAGAGAGGTCTCTTGGGTTTCTCTGGTGGTTATCAACAGTAGCAGTTAAGTGAATACTGTTCAAACAATACCTGTGTTTGTGTTTTATATTGATTTCTCTGTTTTATCCTTTCATAAATGTAAGGACTACAAATGGCTATAAACATTCTGGGCTGGTTGGAGTAAACAGGGTTTTATTGCTCTGTGGGGGAGGTGTAGGTATGCAGGCCTTGAGACCTTTTGTTGTAAAGTGAGCCTGTTTGGTTTCCTGCTGCGTTTCCTGCTGCGTTGCGTCTCCCAATGAGATGACCTGAAAAGATGACCAGCTGACCTAACACCAAACCCCTCCTTCTTACTCTGGTATATATCCGGTGGATCCCTGGCGTTCGGCCTCTTCTTCACATGCTGCCCTCGGGTGAAAGTAGCTCTGCAGTATGCGGACCAGAGCAGGAGTAAGCCGGCATTACTCCTTAAGCATTACAATATAACTGTAATATATCATGTTGTATTGTAATGATTGTATTGCATTGTCATATTGCCATTAAAGTAGATTATTGTTAACGGTTACTTTGTAGATATGGATTCCTTCCTGTATTATAACCAGCTTCATAGGAACGCGCGGAGATTTGAAAAGCGGACCAGTTATCCCTCTAAATCTCTAACAGTGTTCTGTGCTGTGCTGTGCAGGGGCGGACTCACTGGGACTACAAATCAGCCCGGGAATCTCACCCAGGCCACGTAAACGCTCAACGTGGGGGGAGCCTCGCTGCGGGGAAACGGTGGACCTAGTGGCCCGATTGGAGTGGGCCGAGTGGCCCACTTCGGTACCGGCCTATCGGGATACGTCCCGATGGCCAGTCCGCCGCTGGCCCTGTGTGTATGTGTTCTGAGTGTTTGTTTCCCTATAAAACAGCTGCAGGTTCTCTGAGAGTCACGGACATTAATTCATAGATCAAAGCAGACTGGTTTACAGACTCTCTTGTTTTGCTAATCCGGTGCTTAAACAAATAGCTCTCCACCCCTGGCCGAAATGTGGTTAAAATTAAGTCTGAGTTCGAAATATATCTCAAATAATGTATGCTCTGTCATTTCCCCACATAAACATAACAGTCTGCAATGAAATGGTTGTCTCCTGTGTGCTCCACTTCCTCCTTGGCGCACTAGTCGGGATAACGGGTTAGTTTCTTGTCCGCACGAGATACTAACCCGTTATCACAATTATTTTGTTCTCTCTTTTTTTTTTTCATGTCCCTTTAGGGGCTCCGTAGTTTTAGACTATATTGAAATGTAAAAGTGTAATTAATATTATCTATATAACACGTGGCAGAAACATACCTTATAGTCCGCTTTTTTCAAACAGTTTAGCAGAATATGAATTTTTCTATAGTTACAAATATGCTCTTTGCTGGAGAACAAACCGTGTACTGCTAGAGCAGCCTCCCTCTCCTCCATCCTCATCCTTCTGAACCTTTTTCAGCGTTGACATCAAACCACCAGATCTCCTTCACACCCTCCAAGAACTGTGAGTTTCTGGCTCTGCACCCTCGCTGCATACCTCCTGCCTCAAAGACCTGCAGGGTAACTTGGAGAGGATCTGTACTTTAATTCACTCGGCTCCAATATTTGCTGTCATGGCTTCTCCTGCTAACACTTTACAGATGACACTAAACTGCTGCCTTCTTTTCCACGGTCTGAAACACAGGGGGTGTAGTGGCAATTGTAATGTTCCAATGTCCTATATCCTTTTGCCATTACTTCACAGGAGGGTTTAGAGCAGTGTTTCTCAAACTTTTTCATACCAAGGACTTAACCAATAAAAAAACACTCGCGGACCACCTAACTCCACAAATATCCAAAAACACATCGTTTTTCTAGAACAGATTACAAATCGCCTGAAAATGGTACAAACAAGTGACAACATGAGTGACGAAGGTGTTGCGCTGGGCTATATCATGCAATCAATGAAACTTAAGCTTGCTCCATTGCGGAGTTATTCCCGCGAGAATGCGGAACTTACATTTATTTATTTATTTCAAATGTGAAATTTTACCGATATACTCACGGACCACTAGGGGGCGCTCACGGACCACCAGTGGTCCGCGGACCACACTTTGAGAAGCACTGGTTCAGAGTGATCCTGACGCAGACACAAACAGATGATTTCCGATCTTTTGCTGCAGTTTAGATGTTTTTTTTAGTGTTGGTTTAATTACAGTCAATAGTTGTGGTATGAGCATCTGCCGGGCTGGTGGAATTGGTATGCTCTTCCTCCTGTGTCCTCCTCCTCTCCTGTCACCTATGACCCCTTTTATACACCCGGTGCAGCTAAACCCCGCCACCAAGTGTTCAAAAATAATATTGCACTATACATATAAATTAAAGTAAACTGAGACACCAACAACACCCATACAATGGCTCCTACAGAGGGGTCTTACGCATCTCTGCTTGTCCGGCTAACATCTCTCAGTGGATGCTTGCACACCACCTGAAGCTCAACCCAGACAAGACAGAACTGCTCTTCCTTCCAGGTAAAGACTCTCCCATCCATGATCTCTCCATCAACACCGGCACCTCTGTTGTTTCCCAAACTCACACTGGCAGGAATCTGGATGTGATATTCAATGACCAACTTTCCTTCGCTGCTAACATGGCTGCTACTCCGCTCCTACTCACCATAAGGATACGTCTCCTACTGACCCAGAATGCAACAGAGGTTCTGGTCCAGGCCCTTGTCCTCTCACATCTTGATTACTAAAACTCTGGGACTCCCTCTTGGTTGGTCTACCTGCAAGCACCATCCAACCTTTACAACTCATTCAAACTGCAGCAGCTCGACTGGTTTTCAACCTCCCTAAGTTATTCCCATGGACACACCACTCCTCCGCCTTCACTGGCTGCCAGTGGCTACCTGAGCCAGGCTGTTGTTCCCTCGTGCTTCAAGGTAACCACCATCAAACCTGTGCTGAAGAAGTCATCACGTTCCTGCTTCAATGACTTCCGCCCCGTAGCGCTGACTTCCACCATCATGAAGTGCTTTGAGAGGTCCCCCCCCCTCGCTGGACCCGTTTCAGTTTGCATATCGAGCGAAGCGGTCCACTGAGGATGCCATCTCCTCTGCTCTCCACCCAGGCTTCACCCACTTGGACACTGACAACTCTTATGTTAGGATGCTGTCCATAGACTTTAGTTCAGCATTCAACACCATCATCATCCCCATTGATTACATGATTCATAGAGTAGTTTGTTGTCTCGTAGTATAGTAAAAAAGTCAAATATTATGACATTTATTATCATGTTTTGTAATCTCTGTGTAGCAAATGCTGTACAAGAATTAAAATGCACTTTCTTAAAACAACAGTGTTAATTATAATGAATAAAATATTAAACTGTAAATAAACAACTAAGTGTGTTTTATGATTAAAAAACATCTGCATATATTTTTCTTCTTTCTTTCAACTCTTCTTACTTCCTTTCATTTGCGCTGCCAACTTCCTGCCACACACACACACACACACACACACACACATATATGCACAGCATTTCTTGGACTTTGAACACACCCACACACATTTATATAAACCTGCCGAGTTACAAACGCTTGCTTTCAGTTTCCGCGACACCACAGCACACAGACACCGGCGAAGGTAATACTCTTTATGATCTAATGTGATTGTTTGTTTTCATTCAGGGTGGAAGGAGAGTCATTTGTGCTTTTACTTTTGTACGACTGTCAAGTGTGTGTGTGTGTGTGTGTGTGTGTGTGTGTGTGTGTGTGTGTGTGTGTGTGTGTGTGTGTGTGTTTGCCAACAGGCAGAATCTCTTTGTCCAGGACCTATCATTTCCTTATGTACCATTCATTTGTAATTGTAAAAAAAGTGTTAAAATTCACCAATATTCTCGTTATAATTAACATATCTAAACAACACGTGTGACATTTACCAAAAATATAAAAAAATGTTTAAAAAGTGTCAAAACTTCACCTTTTAACGTTGAAATCTTTGACTTAAAGTACCGGATGTTTATGAAATGACCAAAAACTGAATGTCATATGAGCATTAAGTACTTTGTTATGCAAGTAATTGAAAAGATGGTTGAAAATATGTTCAGCTAAATAATCAAAGTACCCCAAATAAAGAACATTTGAACAGCTTCCACTTCCTACATGGTGACCTCACATAATGCTGCTGCTAGACGTTATTAATACCCATTTAAAGTACTTTATTATTCTATTAAACAATGCTATAGCCTATATATACTCACATGACCCTAACCAGGCTATTTGTTGTTCTGTTCCCCCTCACTGTTGTTGAACAGGAAATGTTTTCATGTTTTCACTCAGACACCTGCTGCTGTTGACTTATTGCTGATCTGTCATTTCTGCATCCTACAGACACATTTAGCGCTTTTTGTCCATCGTTACATCACCCTTATGTCTTTAGGTATTAATACGTGTGGGTTAGTTGAGTCTTAATGCATGTAAAGTCATAGGGAAAGTTGTAAAAGATGATGTTTAAATGACTGCTTTCTATACGTCTCAGATGGAGTTTGCCTGCAGTCACGTTGTGTGTCACTGGAGGCCTGACGGAGCAGGCGAGTGCATTTCCACTTTAAATAATATTATAGAACATTTTGAAGCTAAAATGTTGCTTTATTTGCCTTAAAACCATGGAAACGTGTCCTTAGTTGATCTGAGGACACTTTTAAAACATCTATTTGTTGATTATATTTCAGTTTTGCTTATTGTGAAGCACTGCGTCACTCTTGTGATGCATAAAGTAATCTTTCCTTACCTTCTTATAACCTTTTAATTCAGTTTAAACCAATTGTCCACAGGTATTCCTCTTCTTAAGCACCAGCATGACGACAAAGTTACTGTAAAGCAACAGGAAGGTAATAATCTACATTTCACACACGAGCAAAAAAACCTCAGCATTCATAAAGGTCAACGTATCGAAACTGCTGTAAATCACATTCTCCAGAGAATTGCAGAGAAATAACAAGAACGCATATTAAGCAGTGTGTGTGTGTGTGTGTGTGTGTGTGTGTGTGTGTGTGTGTGTGTGTGTGTGTGTGTGTGTGTGTGTGTGTGTGTGTGTGTGTGTGTGTGTGTGTGTGTGTGTGTGTGTGTGTGGAGGAGATAAAAGATAGCAGTTCAACAAGGGGAAGTCCACACTGAGAAGAGGGTGTCAGATACATGTACAATTACACAAGAACAAAGACATAGTTAACAGTAGCGTAGCAATTAATGTAAACAAAGTATAACATATTATATTATTTATGAAACTTTGCAGAGAAGTTACTCGAGAAATGCTGAAAACAATATTCAGGCTTTTATTTAGTTTTTTTCTCACAGATTTCTTTAATTTTCTGTCTTTTTTTCACCTCCAGTTCCTCCGCCGCTGCCTCCTCGTCGTCTCCCCAGAAAACCCAGACCTTCCTCCCTTCCTCCTCCTCTTCCTCCCTCTTCCTCTCGTCCTCC